TAATTATTAAGGCCCCTACATCAGCAGTTTGGTTCTCTGTGGATGCTTTGAGCTTGATCGGCATCTGGGATATGCACGAGCTGGCGTGCAGATGCGGCGGATTATCCAAAGTCGGTCGCCCCGTGATTATTAAGAACCCCAAAAGCACATAAGCATAAGCATTTTATAGGGATATCCCTGCCTTATTGGGCTTCAGTATAAGGGGTTTATATGGGATATCCCTATCCTATTTTTTGCTTATGTGCTTTTTTGGGGCCCTAGATTACAGCGATTTCAAGAACAGTTCGCTTCAACGGGACCTGAACGCCGAGCCTGACCCTCAACTTAAACCCATCCACATCCCATGCTTGTAGCCAGCGAAGACGGAATCTAAGCCCTGAGCCACCACCCCAGGAACCGTACTCCGGAGCACCGGAGGCCCTATAATCCCAAAGAACTTTCTCGACGTTTTCGATAGACTGCCGCGTGGTTGTCCAGTTGAGCCCGGATCTCAAAGCACAGGCTTGCCAGGAGTAGCCCGCATTGTTTGTTGTCTTTGCCCCAGTCGCAGTGAGAGTGGCCGTGACAGTTGCAGCAACAACAGAAGCAGTCGTAGTAAAAGCAGTGGCAGCAGCGGTTGCGGCACCAGCTACGGCTCTGCTTTGCGACTCCTCCTCCTGCTGCTTCTACCACCACCAACACCAGCAGCCCCACCACCAACACCATCGCCAAAACCACCACGCTCATCACCACCACTTGGACATAGTGCTCAAAGGCCATTATATCGAGTGTAAGGCGCAAGTTTCAGGGTCAAGGTTCAGCTTGTTGGGTCTTGCGGAGAGTGTTGAGCACAGAGATTCACCTAATTTCCGGGTGTTCGCTCGCCAAAGGGATTCGTATTGACAAATTATTGGGGCAGAGGGTGGAGGGCTTTGGTGCTTGAGTTTGGGTGTGAAAAGAGTAAGTTTATAGTGGGGCCCGTGACGCCAGAAATGCGTTAGACACTCGCACGTGACAGTTCAGAACCACGAGTGGGTAGACAGCTCCCAAGCAGTGATGCACACCTGCACCCTCAACTTTCCACCCTCGCCATATATATATATATATACATACATACATACATACACACAGACAAACACGCCACACCCCAAGCCGGACATCTGCGTGGAAAGCCCGGCTGTTGACAAACCTGGTGTGGGAGTGATCCGGAGCCATATAACTTTTGCATGCATATCACGCTGCATATTGCTGGTCGGCCGGGTTCGTCGTTGGTTTCACGCGGGCAGGAGAGCTTATGACCACTTTTTTTCTTAACGAAGGATTCCGATACCCCAAATCGATTCGTATCAGCCTGTTTGAGACGCCCTGCCGAAACTCAACGGGCATGCCTGGGAATTCGCGGGAACTCCCGACGGGCGGTAAATGGACGAATTGCCCGAATTACAGGTTTCGGAGTTGCTACGTGCACCTACACGGACCTACAACAGCCTTCCGGAGCTGGAGACGGCCGAAGTTTGCAGTTTCAGCACATGGGCCCACCAAAACGCACGGGTTTCTGAAAAGCCTCGAGCACGAGTCTTAGAAGTAGTGATAGTAGTAGTAATAGTAGTAGTAGTAGTAGTAGTAGTAGAAGCCGTAGTTATGGCGGTAGTAGTAAGAGTAGTAGTAATCATCTACTACTAATTAATGCGACTACTACTACTACTGCTACTACTACTACTACTACTACTACTACCACTAATACTCGTGCTGCTACTACTACTACTACTACTACTACTACTATTACTACTACTACTACTATTACTACTACTACTACTACTACTACCACTGCTTCCACTAGTATTATTACCACTAGTATTACTATTACTATGACTACTATTCCTGCTACTATTACTACTACTACTACTACTACTACTACTACTACTACTACTACTAGTATTATTACCATTAGTATTACTAGTACTATTACTACTACTGCTGCTACTACTACTACTACTACTACTACTACTACTACTACTACTACTACTTACTACTACTAGTATTATTATTACCACTAGTATTACTAGTACTATTACTAC